TTTTAAATAATACATGGTATTAATTATTATTTTATATACCTAAACAAATATTTTTTGTAATATCAATTTATTACAGTTAAGAATATTTGAAATATATATATTTTATTTGGGTTCTTTGTGAGGAAATTCCTTTGTTATTTAACTTAAATGTTTTTTTATTTTTAAAAGAATTTCTTTGGGTGTAGTGAAAGACATGTGTGTGGGTGTTTGTATCTGTGTGAGCGTAAGACAATCGAAAATTGTGGGCGTGTCGAATGGCACACGATGCCGAAGGCAGCTGCCTGCCTAGAATATCGGCAGCATCCTCGTATTCCCCATCCTCGACTTCGTTCCTGATATGCTTGAATATTTTTATTGCCCATACCCCGCGCTCGCGATTCCGTGCATAATAGTGTAAAACTAGACATATATCTCCCGACCGGCTATATATTTCTCTATGGCGAGCTGCTATTTGCAGCGAAACTCACGAATTCGTAATAAAAATGTTTCGCACTGCCAAACGTGTGGCCAGAAGTGAGGATTTTGGGGAGCGAAATTAAAACGGAATGGTTCCGAGCGGAAGACGCAAAAAAAGAAGGCTTCGCAAATGAAAGACAGGCATTAATTTTTGAAAATTTTTATTTACCTCCCAAAAGGGAGCGAATGGCGCGGGGAAGGAAGTGCCAGCGATTTGGGGGAAACAAGTTGAACTCATTTCACAAGTGTTTACGAAATTGGATGAGTAATATAGATCTGGTATATTAATAAGAACACTTCGTAATATGGAAGTATTTTTTGTTAAAATGAACTTATTAATTATTTGTATAAATAATTTAAATAAAGTACATTTTAGTCCCAAACCTTACATAATCACTCTAGAAGAATCCTTGTGTTATCGGTCTAAATGCTTTTTTTTACTACTAAACTAGGAAACCATTTCACCCAAAATATTTTACCAGTCCACTTTTCCGTTTTCAGACTTACTTTCCAAGCTGAGTCTCCATGTGTTTCAATTGGCGCCAACCCCATCCACCTTCAACCTATTTCCTTCACCAAAAAAAAAAGCTCGGTTTAGCGAAGAAAAATTATGGAACTTCTTGCAGACCACATTTAAACGATTTCACATTTCTTAATGATTCTGACAGCTGAATGATCTTTCATTCGGGGTGCCCAAATGTGTTTTTCGTATTCTCCGTTCGCGCTTGTCAGCCCCAATTCGAAATTCGGCCGAATTAGTGCCTCAAGTGGCGGCGGTCTTTAGTTAATGTCAGTCACATCGCCCAGATGTTGCCCAAGTTCTCCTCGGGTTGCTGCCGTTTCTGTGGGATTAATTAGGTATGGGCTCTATGCGACTACACTCCCAACAAAGACTTCATTAAAAGGGGCAACGGCAACCTGATCGGGCTTGTCAAATTCTCTGGGCTGTGGTGCTTTTAATTTTAATTCCACTACTAATACATCATCGTAAGTCATCACAGAAAGCCCACGAAGGTGGTGCAGTGGCTCAGTGTTACAGTGGTGCGGTCGTGCGTGTGTGTGATAAGTCCTGGAAAGCGCCGAACTACACGTTCTAATTTTCACAACAGTTGGTAATGCACAACCCTCAGGACTTCCCCCATTTTCGCCTTGATTTCTTCATATGCCGGTGCGATAATTACACTTTAAAAAAAGATCTGCAAGCTTTAGCTGTGGTATTAACAAATATTTTTCAGAGCCATAAAAAAACTAAAAAACAAAAACTGATTTTAAGTTTCTTAATAATACATTTTAAATAAAAAACAGAAATATTTTTATATTAAGGAAAATCATACTTACTTTTATTAACTCAGGAGGAATGCCTATTTTTCTTATTCCTATATAAATAATTTTAAATTTTTTGTGATACAAATGTTAACAGGTAATTGCTAAATTTGTGATTATTTAACAATTTATATTTGATCTAACTTAAGGATCTATTACTAAGAAAAAGTTTTATTCATCATCATTATTAATCACATAGCTGAATACAAATTTGATAATTTTAAAAATAAAATGAATTTGAGTGTAAGCTAGTGCGAAAATCAAGCCGAGGCCAAAGGTTGCCGTATGCCGAATCCGCGGCTATTTCTGGTGGTGTTGTTTCGTGTTGCCCTTGTTGGTGGTGGCAAGGTGAAAGCCGCTTAAGGTGGTGGAGGTGGGGTGGGTTGAAGGACGAGGACGAGGCAGGAGTCCATTGTTAGGACTCAACATGTGCGCTATTGGATTAAGTGGCGAACGGCGGCGATTCAAGGACAATCAATGGAACAGCACGACTCTGGGAGTCCGCAACCCGGAGCCGGTTCCTCCTCGTCACCTTCTGTCCAAATCGAAGCTAGACCGCGTAACAGAAATCCATTAAGGTGACCGTTTTATTTGCTACATTAGCGGAGGCTGGGGTGGTGACTTAAATGCATGCATTTAGCCATCTGCCTGCATTTTGCCAGTACAAAAGTGATAATTGAGACTTCTTTTTTATTGGCTTTGCAGACAGAAAGAGCAGTCGAGCGGAATGGTCAGGATAGATAGATAGATTGTCTCGAGGATCCGAGTTCAAAAGCGGGCTCCGGCATGCAAATCCCAAGCGAAAGGATACGGGATACAGGATACAGGCAGCTGCTACTCGACATAGAGAAACGCCCACGTGCCAACGAAATGTTAGGAATGCCAGCCCGGAATTTCCAATCAATTTTAATTGGCACCCCATCGATGGATGACAGCGAAAAGAAATCCAAAATATTTGTGCATAATTTTAATTAGAACATTTTTCTATTTGCGCAATTCATCTTGTGTGTCGTGGAATTACTTAGAAACCGGTGGCAGACGTTCAATGGGTGTCAAGTAAGTGCAATAAATTATTTTAAACGAGCATATCGAAGATGTGTCGCTCCTCTAAAATGTCCCTCTAACATGTGCTGCCTGGTATTCCAAATATTTTTATGGCTAGGTCCGGGTGTAGGTATCGTCGTCGCAGGGATTTATGTGCAATCAGGGGGCACGGAGATAAATCTCCTGCCCACTCAAGCGGCCAGCCAATCAAAGTTGCAGTCATTTAAATGCTCGCAGTGGGACGCTCCCCACTCGGAAAACTCATTTAAGTTTTCCTCGGCCAGAGAGATAGGTGAAAAGGATAAGGTCGAGTCGAGTCGAGTCTAGGGATTGGCCAACTTTGGTCCGGCTTAATTGCCCAGTGTCCTTGCAACGAAAAAGGGAGGCTTAATTGCCTCAGCCTCTGCCTTTTGACTCCAATGCTTAATTGCCATTTAGTCCTTTTTAATGGACTCCACTGTACGGGGACACTTCATCCATGTTCATTAATGGCCACGTCTAGATTTTCACTCACCTCCTATTGTAACTTTTGCGAAACTCTGTCGATACCACTCACTGTCTCATAGATAGACTTGCAAATGCTAGCATTTTAATAGCAGCATTTTTGACTTAATATGTCCCGGCTTATCGGTGTATCTGGGCATCCTGAATGTCCTGTGTGTGTCCTCTGGACCTTTGGGGCATTCTCAGCTCGTTTGTGTTGCATAAATTTGCCCAAATTGTTTTGCTGCTGTCCGATAAGACGCCGTCGATGGCATGACAATTAGCCCGAAACTACATTTAAAATATTACTTGTGGACCTCCGATTCTGTGGTCCTGTTATCCCTTCCTCCTGTTTCAGCCTTAAGTGTTTCTTTGGGGTCGTGTGTTGAAAGTGCAAACACTATCTGATTGCTGATTTCCCAAATATTGACAATAGAACGTGAATGCCTAAGAGAACAAGTATGATTGTACGTTTTCACTTACAATTTAAAATGATATATGGGCAAGGATAAAAATATTCATTATCAATATATTGGCATTAAAAATGTTACTTAAGTTGGTCAAATATTCGAAATTTAACTGTGAGGTGACCACCTGTACGAAGCAAATAAACATTAACATTCATTAAAATCTTCTTTTATAACCTAATCTTGATAAATACATTTCTATAGAGATTTATAAAAATAACTTTCTAAAACAATTAAGAGAACTTAAAACTTGTAAGGTCTATAACCGTAACTTACATATATAAGTTCTTTAAAAATTAATTCTTGTTATTAAAAAAGTATTCTTACACCTTTTGAATAAGTTCTTACGGGTCCAGTTCTTACTTCCAACCTTTTTTCCTGCACCCACTTAGGTCATTTCAACCTGCCACTTAACGCAGCTTCTGCTCCCGGTTCACTTACATTTAATGAAAAAAGGGAGCATTATTATTAAATTATACCCAGAGAAATACCCCTCCACTTCTCTTCGACCTCATTTGAGCGCATGACATAAACATAAACTTTGCGCCTTTTGTGTGAGCGAGTCCTGCGGGCGTTCCTTGTATATGTGTATACGTATCCTGATCCTGGCTGGCGACTAAGAACCATACAGCAACAACAACAATAACGACAACAAACACCTTTAATATTTTCATTATGAAGTCATTCAGCGCGATTATTAACGCGTGACCCCCAAGGCGATGCACAGCATCCAGAGCGGACCTAAGCGGATAAAGGTTCAGGTCCACCCCAATCAACAACAAAAACAACGTTGTTCCCAAAGTTTTTACTGCAGAGAGAGAAAATGTTAGATTTATATTAAGTACAATCGAACTTGGCACACAGTTTTCGAATACTTTTGGCCTCCGATTCCAACGCCATTTGACGGATTTATTTCGAAACAATACTTATTTAACCAGCTTTTATTCCAAGGAATATTATGCTGTACAGCCTAATTAATATTGTTGCTTTTCTTAAAGAAAATATATGTACATATGCACGCTGTGATTAATCACTGTTGCTATGCTTGTAGCAAAACAAATCAAAATAAATCAAAACGTACCGAAAAACCCAAGTACTGAAAAACCCAAATACTGCCTTATCTAGTATTACTTTTACTACGCTCGAGCTTTCGTCTAAGCGAATCCCGCACCTTGAAGTCAGTTGGTTTTGAGCTCTTGTTGAAAAATGAAGTGTTCGGTGATTTTATCAGTTTTCTTCTGTTTAATGATCTTTCATGTGGGGTTGGCGTTTCTCCTAGATGATAATTGTGCCTCCCCTCCACAATTCGAAGATAGAATAATCAATGGCAACGTTGCAAAACCGAACACGACGCCATGGATGGCAGCCTTACATGATTATACTGGATTTGTTTGTGGTGGAACACTTATTACCGAACGTAAATATGAACTATTTTAATAAAAAAAAAAGTTTTTTACTAATTTGGAATTTTCAGGAAATGTCTTGACCGCCAAGCACTGTATCGAAAAAAGAAACATAACGTAAGTACTTTTCTGGCAACAATAAGATATAAATGCGATTATATCTTCCAACTTGTCACCTAAAGTATTAATTTTTTGTATTTTGATTGGAAAGGTATAACATTTAAAGTTTTTTTTTTGTAATTGGTTAATACTTTTGATAAAGGAGCATGTTTAAAAATGCTTTTATGCAGATCAAATTAATGTGCCAATTGTCTTCTCACAGGACCGTGTTATTAGGTGTCTACGACAGATGGTGCCCTTTTTGGATTTTCTCAGGAGTGGAACTATATAGACCGTTCAAATTTGTTCCTTTTTCTGGCGACATTGCACTTATTAAACTGGACAGAAAAGTGGTCTACAATGGTAAGCTAAATATACATATTAAATGGCTTTTTATTTCCCATTAATATCTCATAATTCGGAATTTCATATTGGTCAGTCTAGAGAGTGTGTGGAAGGCGACTAATTAAAAATATACCACAATAGTTCGATTAGAATAAATTATATATTCGGAAAATTTGTAGTGGTATTGAGTCAGTTGGATCAAAATACACCTATGTAAATTTATTTATTAATTATCCAAAGCTCCACATTAAAAGTTTATTTGTCAGTTTTTTTTCGGTAAATTTTGTAGTTCCCGGAACTATTTATTAAGTAAAAAGACCTGAAGTAAGTTTGTTTTTACCGATTTTTGAAAAACCCTTATTTTTTATCTGTAGCACAAATCCGCCCAATATGCATTATTATCGAACAGGAGCCAATAACGTGGTTGCCTACCCAGAGATTCGAGGCCTATGGATGGGGGAGAACAGAGACTGGACTTACCAGCCAAGTTCTGAAGACCGTCAGTCTTAACCGTGTTCAGTGTCCTGCTGGACAGGACCCCAATGGATTGATCTGTGCTTGGTCCTGGAACGGGGACACCTGTAATGGTGACTCAGGCGGACCGCTGGCCGCCAAGATCATTTACAAAGGAAAAAGTATATATGCACAGTTTGGGATCGTCAGTTCAGGCTCCCCTAATTGCGATAATATTGGCATCTACACGGATATTATGAGCTACAACTCCTTATTGTTTATACATCATGCCCTTGATATAATTTTACTTCATGAAAAATAAGTATAAGCTTATGTCATTTTTATTGTAGATGGGAGACTAATCTTAAATAAACGAAACGCCAATATTAAGACTTGCATTTTTTTTAAACTCTTGCCATACCAAAGAATAATTTTTCCAAGTGTGGTTCAACGCTAAGGTAAATTACAATTTTTTGTAAGTGGCAGCCGCTGGGCAAGTGCAGCTGTACCTAATAATCATAATAATTGCGCCATGGGCGTCGACAGTGTCGTCAACTTTTCCAGACGCCTTCACACCCCACACCCACAACTCAGCCAACAACAATTGCTTATAAAGTGCGTGTGACACATTAACGGGAAAAGTCCGGCGTGAAAAGCGGGAAAGCCTGGATAGCCAGGAAAAAAAGGCAAATAAAACTCATGGCCAGTGGGCGAACTTCAAAAGAAATAAAGAAAAGGCACAAAAATGGAACGCAAAGAAAAGAAAAGTCCTTTAATGCCGTGAATTTTCCGCGGGATTTCTATAAAGTGCAGCGGGGTGGGAGGTTGAGAAAATTAGACGGGGGGTCACTGCGGTTTCTGCCGCGAAATTGAAAAAATGTTCGTGCGTAAATTGGCTTTTGGACTGGGGATGCTCTCCATATCGGCCAGAAATTTAAATGGAAACAGGCGTGGCTAGGTCACCTCACATCCGTACTTTTATTTCTTCCACTTTTTCAAATTGAATTTCGCTTCGAGAGCTCCTGAGAAGGCATAAAGGAAAGGGAAAGTGGAAAGTGGAAAAGCAAGGAAAACCCGGCAGCAAATTAAAAAGAAATTAAGCCAATTTGCCTTTACAAGCCAGGATGTGCGGCTCAATTTCAGGAGCCGTAGCTAAAAAAGTGGCCACGACTTGTTGTGGCTCGTAAATCTTGGCCCATAAATACCAGGGCCTTCTGCTCTATTCCAGGTCGTTTCTTTTTCGCCTCACTGCCAACAACGTCTTTATTTCGGCGTAAAATTCTTTAATCTCGCTCAATTCAATTAGTTCGAGTTGACTAGTTAATGCCGCACAAAGTGTCCGCGAATGTCCTTTTTGTCCATCGGAGGTAAGTTATCTTCCTGCCGCGACTTTGTCACCGAGCATTAACTTTTCCAATTTATGGGTAATCTAAGTGGAGTGGTTTGGGTTGTGATGGTTATGGTTATTGTAGGCTGATCGGCGTCTAATTAGGTAAGTAACCTTTCCTGGTTCGTAAATCGTAAAATAGAGAATGTTCAATGATTGGCTATAACCCATACTTTAAATTATTAAAATTAAAAAGGATTTGAATCATTATTTTTTAAACTAAAAATAGAGAAACTTTATACCAAAGCTCTGATTTAAAAACAATCAATGTTACAATGTGTTTCTTAGGCAATTTATTTGATTGGTACTTAAACGTCGAATTTTTATTTTAGTTGTTTAAGTAGCATTTTATTCTTAATGCTGCAAATTTATATAACTTTTTACGTTATCTATATAATTTATTATACTTATATTTCTACTTATTCCGAACTCCATTGGACCCACACATTTTTATTTAATGACATTTTGTATGTACGCCTTAACACAAGAGCATAAATAAAGCGGAAATAATAATTTTGAATGCATTTGAAATGGAAGGGGTTGCGACTATAGTCCTGATTTAGAAGGCAAACTGTACGACCTAACTTCGCTGGATACAAATCTAATAAAAATATAAACTGCCTGTGAAAAGATTAATGAAAGAACTCTCCATTTCGATTTGGAAGTGGAAAGTTTTGAAAGTTTCACAGCTAAAGGTGGACATCGCAATTTAGTCGCTGCTTACACCGGGATCTGGATCATCTGTGGCACCTGCAGATCCTGCGAAAGGACATGAAGCATCTACACCTATATCCTGGTGCGGCGAGGAGGGGGGCGTGGCATTGTCATCTCGAGGCTTGGCCTTTCCAAAAATCAGAGCCGCCTGTTTGGTTTCAGCTAGAGAGTTAATGGGGGCCGTCACTGTCCGCGGTTTTAGGACCAATTTTGGCCGATCATCATCGTCGAGTGCCGCGAATTGATTACTCGAACATGGTCGCGTTCCCGATGATCCTGATTCCAGCACCACAGGTCCAGGACTCTTGCTGTCCCGGGCAAAGTTGCCGTTTCCGTTGGCATTGTAGCTACCGGAATTGCCAGCGTTGTTTGGATTGTAGTGACCTCGGCGATCGCGATTGCGGTTCTGCACAAAGTTGGTATAGTTGCCGTTTCCATTTAGATTTCCGTTCCCAAAGCCACCCACATCGTTCCCGTTGTTGAAGTTCCGCTGCATGTTGCCTCCTCTTCCGGCACCACCTCCGCCACCAGTGCTGTTGTTGAAGGTGCTAGTGGTTCAAGATTTATTTGACATTAATCATTAAAAAAATCAACAATATTACTCAATAAATGTTTCTTAGGCAATCGTAAAATAAGAATCGATTAAAGTTAAAGAATTTGAGCTAACTTTACAGTCAATTAGACTCACATGTAAGTAAATAAATAAATTCTGATTCTAAAAATTATTTTGCTCTGTTCATCTAATGGGGTATATTTTTCTTACCGATTAAAGTTGAAGTTACGGTTGCGCTGGAATCCTCCATTACTGGACGACTGCTGACTTTCCCGGTCATCGAAACTGGATCGCGGAAATCCTCCCTGGTAACGGTTCCCACTGCCGTTGCCATTGCCACCCCCCGATCCCCTCCTGCACCACCACGATGGTTGTAGCCACCTCTCGTGGTGCGGTTGCAGTTAATGGACATGGTGCTTTGGGTGGGGCTGCTGTTGGACATTTGGTGGTTGCTGCTGCTGCGCGTTTCCCTTCGTCTATATTGATGGGATCCCACGCTGTCGTCTCGCCGATAGTTGCGCCTCTGGTAGTAGGGATGGCCACCCCCCACGCTGGCTCCCCCTCTTCCGCCACCTCTCTCTTGACCGCCCAGACTTTGGGAGCCACCAGGTCCTCCGACTCCTCCAATGCTTGAACCCGGGGCCTGTCGCCGATGATCGGCTATATCGATACGCAATGGGGCCGAAAAATTGTCCAATTTGATGCGACCATTGCAGGAGAGAGCCCTCTTCAGTTGGGCCAAGCTCTCAAATTCCACATAGCCATAGCCCTTGAACTCGTCCGTTTCACGATCCTTGATCAACCGCACGTTCTTCACCTCAAAGTCCGAGAATATTTTCATCACATCGCCCTGAACGAGACCCTTGGGCAAGTTGCCCACGTAGGCGATAAAAGGTGGTTCCGTGGGCACTTGACGTTGACGATCACGATCCCTGTCACGATTGCGAAAGTCACGGAAATTACCACGATTTTCCCTGTTATCGCGATTGTCCCGATTATCGCGATTGTCACGATTATCGCGATTATCCCGATTGTCCGATTGTCCCGATTATTGTCTCGACTGCCGCCATCCCGATTACCGCGATTGTTACCGTTAGTATTATCGTTATCACGGTTGAACTCGCGATCGCGCTGGCTGGAACGATTGGCCATGGTCATCGAGCCCTTATCCTTAACCTACAAAAATATATGTACCTACAAGTAGCCACTCGTACCACGGACGCACGGATAACCAAACACTTGACGAAAAGTCCGGAGCTCGATATCCCAGACGCTGTTAATAAGTCTACGCGACGCGAGGGACTGGAATCGGAGTAACGAGATTTCTAGACGTTTCTATACTGACACTAGTTTCAATACCACTGGATAAGGCAATCTATATGAATATATAAAACGTTGGGTAAAAAAGCCTATTTGAAATAAGAAGACACTTAGAAAATAAGAATTCAATCCTTAATACTTTTTAAGTGATTTAAAAGTTGAATTTGAAGTATAAATAATTTAATATTTATCTACTCCATCTAAGCCTTAAGATCTCAAACTTTTATACAACTGAAACTTATTTTGAGTACTAAACTTTATGTAAGTACTAGTGGAGCATTGTAAAGGGAGTGACATTTTTATAATTTTATATTTATATTTTTATAATAGTGTATGGTTTAGCTTTTTAAAGGCGTATCAAGATTTGTAGGTAATTAATATCATGTTTAAACGGTTTATTTTGTTTGTAATTACACAACTTGTTTAAAACTAAGCAGAATGTTTACAACGAAGCCTAAATGATATCTGCTGCATGCAGAAAACAGAGCTCTGAGCTAAGGTAAACCATAAATGATTAATTACGGCGCCAGGCTCCAGACCCATTCCCTTTTTGCAAAAACATGTGTAAGCAGCAGCTCCATCTTCTCCGCCAGTTTGTGTTTGTTTTATGGATAGCGCCAGCAAAAGCAGCAACAGCCAGTACATGAAAAAGTCAACAGTAAATAGTGCAGCCAAGCAGCAGCAACAGCAACAGCAACAGCAACATGGTGCACAGCAGCAACATCAGGATTCCAGCTTGCCCCGCGAACTCATGACTCATTTTTGTACATTTGTCAAAATTTGTGCCATACATCATTTAAAACAGGGCAGCTTGGTGAGGGAGTAAAGGTTGCGAGGAGTGAGGGATCACTGTATTTTAGCCACGGCCTGGCTTTCATTCAAAGCTCTTACTCCTTCTATTTTTCCGAGCTATCTCCGTCTCTATTCAGGAAAAACCTTGCCCCAGTGTTTCAAGCGACTCATCGCATGGAGGCCAAGATAAATCGCCAGCAACACGGAATTAAAAACTGATGCAGCGATTAATTTATCACTTGCAGGCAGTGCACTCAAAAAAAAAACAAGCATAGGCACCTGAAATTGTTTCTACAGGCTTATCTTGAGATTTAATGTAGCATTTTCTTAAGAAAATTAATTAAAGACATAAAAGACTTCTTAATAAATTTTTAAGTATCAAAAGTTCTATAAAAACAAGCTTCGGCATCTGAAATTGTTTCTACAGGCTTATCTTGAGATTTAATGTGGTATTTTCTTAAGAAATATTATTGAAGACATAATAAACTTTTTAATAAATTATTAAGTATAAAAAGTTATAATTGCTTTTAATTGCTTTGTCTGTTTAATTCTTTTTTTCGCAGAAAATAATATTACAATTTTTTTATATTTTTTATAGTTTAAATAGCTTTATTTCTCCTACTACAATTATATTTTGAGCATTTTAATTTTTATTTTACCTTTATTTACTCTAGTTTTTCCGAGTCCATCGACAAGAAGAGTTGCAGCTTCTGGCAATATTTAACTAACAAGTTGCAGTGAGCGAGTGGACACACAGAGGAGACGTTTGAATGGTTCTATCCGAATGGAATCGAAGTGCACGGAGTTGGGCAGTAAATAAATTACGAGCAGCAAATAAACGCGCTTCATTGCACCATCGATGGACAGTAGCTATACTATAGAGGTGGAATATCTGGGGGTAAGAGAGGTTAGATGTGGGGGCAAAGGCAAAACAAAGGGCCGAAGGGAGATGTATGGACAAACAGAGACAAGCAAACGGAAACGGAAACGCTTTCAGCTGTCGAATTTGTATGAGCTAAAAGTGGCCATTCTCCATTTTGCCGAGATCCCAGAGCTTTTGTTGTAAGCGCTCAATCATTTGATTGTTGCAACTGCAAAAGGACTCGAGCGAAGCTCATCGATCAGAATTAATAAAGATTTGGTCCTTGGTGATTGACTGACTGACCCACCTCGACCAGCTGGGATTTTCGGCGGGGAGAACGGGGATGGCAACCCCCTTTTCATATAGAGCATTTGTTTCTAATCGGGGAATCCCACTTGATTGGCACAGAAGCGTAAACGATTTTAGTATTACACAACATTAACGAAATTAAATTGATTTCGAGGCTGTTTTGGAACCACCCACCATTCCATCCTTACTTGTTCCACTCTCTATTCCAAGCTCATCATAATGATGTCCTTGGCTTGATTTATGCCACAACTCCCGCAAGTATGCAGCGAAAATATCTTTATGGGCCAATATGTGAACGTTATACACATTTACCTCCCCCTTCTTCACTCCATTAGTGCACTTGTAGTACCTCACATATTAAGGATAAAAAGGGGGTGTGGCAGGGACCGCTCACTAATCATATTAAGCGAAATTCATACGTCGCCGCATTTATGCGATTTGCCCAGGACCTCTGAAAATATCCAAGAGCCCGAAAAAATAAAGAGGGGTAGCTTTTGTTATGACTCGGTCTGGCAACATTTTTCGTTGTCGTTTAAACTAATTGAGTGTTACAAATTTTATGTGCAAAATCTTTAAGCTAAATTGAAATTTGTTTTCTTTTTGCCCCCGCTGTCGTACATTTTCCACATATGATGTTCACTATCCCCGTAAACCCGTATCCGTAAGTGAACCCATTTAATGTTATGTGCACATTCTCGTTTGTTCATACCCGTAAGTGCGTTGAACCATTTTAAAATTCCCGAGTTGAGGTATGTTCGACTGGTTTTTGTCCACGAAATATTGCCTACGGGTTGGAGTGGTTTGCCTTTGGGGTTTTCGCATTTTTTTTGGGGTGGGTGAGGCAAGGGATACGAGCTCAGTCGCGCATCCCTTTCATTTTCATAATTGAGGTTGAAGTTCGCAATGAAATATTAAGTGTAGGATGAGCAAACAATTTTTTTTTGAAGTTTTATGTGTTAGTTAAAATGTAGGTACAATTGGTTTGTTTACTCCGTCTTAAAATTAATTATTTAAAAGGGTTAAAATGATAACCTCTTAGTAGAAAGTATGTAATTTTTAGGTAAATCGAATTTAATTCGATGAATTTATTATAAACTGTAAACTAATATATACTGAAGTATCCTTGGTTTTCATTTTTTGGCGAATGATTTTTGCCAGAATTTTTTGTGAGTTATTTCAAATAGTAATTTATGAAATGACAAATACTACCCACTTCATTTATCCCAATCCCCCAGCTAATTAAACTGCCAACGGAGTGTATTCTCAAAACAATTTACATAATTTACGATGCAAGACAATTGGCAGAGGAAGCTGAGAAAATCGAGGAAAAAAGCTTGCAGGCCAATAAACAGAATTGCATATGAAATGGCAGGGATATTTGTATGAATTGTTCGGGCCAAGATAAGGAAAAGAGGAATATTCGCGAAAACTCCAAGTTGGCGACACCATGGTCCAAGAACAAAGGCCCACACAAAGTGTGGGTCTAGAATAAAGAGCAACTATCGTCAGAGATTTATCATTGGCTCGGCCATATATCAAGTGTTTTGGCCAAATAATATAATATATGGCACTTGCCAAGTTCGCAATTACCAGCAGAAACTGTCGCGGCATTTTGAAAAATTAACATGCAAGCCATATATAGTTCTTTGTATCGGCCAGTGCCATAGATTTATGCCAATTTGATACTCCTAGTGATGCTGATTTATGGGCATTTGGACTCGAGTTCTCCTACACGCTCCAAAGAACTTTTGGCGGGGCCATAAATAATGCCGGCGATCAAATTGCTACCTTCATGAGTCGATTTGTCGATTGTTCGGAAAGTACAAGAGCGCGGGAGCCGAACAGAGTTCCTTGGCTTTGTTGTACTTTCAATTAAGGCAATTGATTTTAATTAGACCACGGCTTACCATAAACATATTCCAAAGAAATTATTATTAAACACGCGACCCTCGAGATCTGCTGGTTTTGTGGCAGGGGGTGGGCGGTCATAAGGTTCTTCTTCACCTCACCGCCTCTCGGGTGTAACTTAATATCTGCTCTAGCCATTCGGTTCAATTAGCAGGAATTATATGGCCAAGTCGGGTCGCAATGCACCCTGCACAGGAATGTGCCCACATCTCGGGCCAACTGCTGCTGCTGATGTTGGAGGAGGTAGAGCAGCCATATTCCTTAATTGGCCGATATAAAGGGGACAATCGAACACTGAGGGAAACCTTCATTAAAAATATTACAAAGAATTTGTGATAAATTTATGAACACTATTTGCACTGTGTTGCTTACTTAAAATAAAAAATATATTATTTATATATATATGAATGAAATGAGTAATAAAAAAATTGTATTAATATTTCGTTGTCTGCTTTGCAAAAATAGGAAGTCGGCAATTATCAAGTATGTAACCTATTTAACCTTTCCATGGGAAAGACAACGGAAAGAAAGCGTTCATACATATTTCGGTGATAAGGAGTCGTCTGAACATTTACGTCATCATTGAGGTCCAATCGAGTCATTTGTACGTGGTATGATTTTTAATGATTAATGGTTATAAGTTCTTTTTTGAGATTAAAAACCGGGGTTTTGTCTAGATTCAGTCTGAATTTCTGGCAAAATCATCCCATTTTTAGGTATCAGAAAATATAAATCAATTGATTCTCAAATTATGAAATTGATGAGTCAAATTAACCGATCCAAGCTCTGTATTTTTATTAACAGTCTATATTAAACATATTTAAGGTACCCAAATTTTTGTTTAGTGCCTTGGGCGGCGACGTGCCTCAATTGAGGTGATCAACGCTAATTGAAAGCCAGCGAGGATGACTCAGCCAGCGGCTCATTAAGTGGCTGGGAAATGGGAATGGAGGCTGATGGAACTCGGAGCAAACGCCGAGCGATCAAGATGAAAAATTAACATTTCGCGCATCATTAAAATTCCAATAGAAGATATGGACTACGATGGATCGTTGGTCGGTGTGGACTTCGCCATATGGAAATCGTTGACAAATGCCGCAACGTGCTCAATGTCTC